GAAGGAGGGAGGGAGGGAGGGAGGGAGGGAGGGAGGGAAGGAGGGAGGGAGGGAGGGAGGAGGGAAGGAGGGAGGGAAGGAGGGAGGGAGGGAGGGAGGAGGGCGGAGAAGGGAGCAAAGGCAGCTGCAGGGGGCAGCATGGCATATCCGGGGAAGAGGTTTCTCGGATCCTTCTTGTACACCCAGTGGTTCTGAGTTTGGGGATGGGGTGGCAAAGGAGATAGGGAAGGAAGAGAGGGGTAAAGCAGGGGAGCAAAGGCAAAGCAGCAGCAGGGGGGCAGCAGGCATGACTGGGGAAGAGGTTTCTCAGATCCTTCCTGTGCGCCCAGCGGTTTCTGAGTGTGGGGATGGGGTGATAAAGGAGAGGAAAGGAGGGATAAAGCAGGGGAGCAAAGGCAGCAAAGCAGCAGCAGGCAGCATGGCACGGCCGGGGAAGAGGTTTCTTGAATCCTTCCTGTGCGCCCAGTGATTCTGAGCCAAACACAGCGGTGGGGAGGAGGGAAAGAGGGGGGTGCGGGGAAGGGTAAGGGGCAAAGAAGGCAAGGGTACAGGGACAGAAGGGGCAGCATGGCATGGCTGGGAAAGTGGTTTTCTCGGATCCGTCTCGTACACCCAGTGGTTCTGAGTGTGGGGATGGGGTGGCAAAGGAGATAAGGAAGGAAGGGAGGGGTAAAACAGGGGAGCAAAGGCAGCAAAGCAGCAGCAAGTGGGAGCAGGCATGGCACGGCCGGGGAAGAGGTTTCTCGGAACCTTCTTGTACGCCCAGTGGTTCTGAGTGTGGGGATGGCGTGGCAAAAGGGATGAGGAAGGAAGAGAGGGGTAAAGAAGCAGGTATGGCCGGGGAAAAGGTTTCTCGGATCCTTCTGTATGCCCAGTGGTTCTGAGCGTGGGGATGGAGCGACAGCCAAACGTAGTGGTGAGGGAGGTAAGAAAGAGGGAGGTGTGGGGAAGGGTAGGGTCAAGTGATTATGTTATTATAGGAGGGGCCTTGAAGCTTGTTAGGAGGAGCCAATTCTACCTCTCACTCACCTCAAAACATGTTAGCTTAGACGAATCTGGACAGGAGAAATCAAAGTGTGCAAAGATGATTGTATAGATTGCCTTTCTTTTGGGTTTGTTGAATGCCTGGCTACAAAGGTTTTCCAGGACTTCAACCCAGGCCGTCCAAAAACATTCCGTTGCCGGGACTTGAACCCGGGTCTTTCGGGTGAGAGCCGAATATCCTAACCGACTAGACTACAACGGATGGACAAAAAAGGATATTACACATAGACAAAGTAACTAGTCTCCAAACTCCACCTAGCAAGCTCTTTGAGCCTCAGACTCACTTCCACTCACCACAACCCACCCATTTCTTCCCCCCACTCGCCTCAGTCCCCTCACCACGACCCATCTATCTCTCCGCTCGCCTCACTCCCCTTACCAGGAACTTGGTGCTGAACGTCGATTCGATGGAGAAATCACTGGAGGAGCTGTCGAGAAGCATTGCTGTGAATATGGCGATCTCGCGCTGAGAGGAGTTGGGAGGAGGGGAAGGTGGGTGGGGGGGGGGGAGAGAGATTCCTTAGGTAGCACAAACCAGGAAGCCACTGAAGGAGCTGTCGAGAAGCCTTGCCGTGAGTGTGGGAACCTCCCGCTGAGAGGAGATATGGGGGGAGAGGGGAGGGGAGAGTGGGGGAGGAGAGATTCCTTAGGTAGCACAAACCAGGAAGCCACTGAAGGAGCTGTCGAGAAGAATATCTGTGAATATTGCGATCTCACGCTGAGAGATGTTAGGAGGGGAGAGGAGACGAAGGAAGGAAGAGGGAAGAGGGACAGAGGGATCGAGAAAGGCTATTAAGGTGCACCAGATACTCACCTGGAAGTAACCTAGAAACAACCTGATAGACACCTGGCAGTCACCCGACAGTTATGTGGCAGTCACCCAACGGTCACCTGAAAGTCACCTGGCAGCCACTCGACAGTCACCTGAAAGTCACCTGGCAGTCAATCGACAGTCACCTGAAAGTCACCTGGCAGCCACTCGACAGTCACCTGAAAGTCACCTGAAAGTCACCTGAAATTCACCTGAAAGTCACCTGAAAGTCACCTGGTAGAAGGCCTGGAAGAGAATGGGAGCATCTTCTGGGTCGGATGGGGTGTCGATGATACGGGAGAAAGAAGAAACCTGCAGGGCAGTGTGTGATGATGCATGGTGGTATGCAGTGATGTGTGGTGGTGGTGTGGTGAAAAAATTGGCTACATATCCTCACAGGGGCTCATAGTGTCTGATAGTGTCTCAAGCATGCTCTAGCCTAGTCAGTGCCATGCTTGAATCCAATACAATACCCCATTTTGCTAACTTGAACCTTAACTCCCAAACCTGAACCATTCACAGAACTGTACTCTCCGCATGTGCCATGTGCCCCAGCGCCTGGCGACAGCACCCCATGGCGAGCTGGGCCTAGGGGGTACGAGGTGCAAGTGAAACCCTAAACCTGAAACCCTAACTCTCTCCCTGAAACCCCAAGCAATGAACCACCGACTGCATGTGCCATGTGCCCCAGAGGCTTGCGACAGAAGCCCAGGGCGAGCTGGCCTTTGGAGGTGCGAGAGGTAGCCGAAACACCAATGCTGAACCCACTACCACAAACTCTAATCCTCAACCTCTGAACCATGCACAACGATACACTCACTGCATGTGCCACGTGCCCCAGCGCCTGGCGACAGCACCCCATGGCGAGCTGGGCCTTGGGAGTGCGAGGGGCGAGAAAGCACCAACAGTTCAACCCTCAACGGCAATACACGAATTCTGAACCCCAGGCTCTGAACCCCAGGCTCTGAACCCCAGACAACCATTGCATGAACTGACCGCAGGTGCCATGTGGCCCAGAGCCTGGCGGCAGCACCCCATGGCGAGCTGGGCCTTGGGGGTGCAAGAGGTAGGCAAAACACCAATGCTGAACCCGATACCACAAACCCTAAACCTGAACCTTAAACCCTGAACCATGCACAACGAAACACTCACTGCATGTGCCATGTGCCCCAGTGCCTGGCGACAGCACCCCATGGCGAGCTGGGCCTTGGGGTTGCGAGGGGTGAGGGAGGACCACTTGGCGTACAGAGGGAGGACGCCTCTGGTTGGGGGAAAGGGTTGAAGCGAAAGGAGAAGAGATGGTGCTTGGGGGTGTGAGGGGCGGGGGCGGGGCAAGAGCAACCACCTGGTGAAGAGAGGAAGGGCGCCTCTGGTTTGGGTAGGTGAGGAGATAGTGGGGAAAGGAGAAGGGGAATCGCAAGGGGAGGATGAGCCTATAGTGAATAGGTATGAGTGAGAGGGGCTAGGGAGAACCACTTGGGTGAGGAGAGAGAGGGCGTCCCTGGCTTGGAGATGAGGTATGGAGAGCCTATTATGATGAACTGCCTCAGGCTTATGAGTCGGCTCAAAGTCAGCTTTTGAGTCGACTGAAACGGCCACATGGGTGAGGCAAGAGAGGGCGTCCCTGGCTTGGAGATGAGGATTAGAGAGCCTATGATGATAAACTGGCTCGGGTGTATGAGTCAACTCAAAACTTTTGAGTCGACCCAAAGTCAGCTTCTGAGTGAACTCAAGCATCCACTTGGGTGAGGAGAGAGAAGGCGTCCCTGGCTTGGAGTGGAGATAAGATACAGAGAGAGAGAGAGCCTGTTATGATGAACTGGCTCAGGTTTAGCAAGGGTGAAGAGATGACACTTGGGGGTGGGTGGGGCGAGAGAGAACCACTTGGCGAAGAGGAAAAGGGCGTCTCTGGATTGGGGAGGACGGGGAACACTGTAACAGGGCCTTCTTGTTTCTCGTCTCCTGCTTTGTTTCTCGCTTTTCGCCCCCGTTCCTTCCTCCGACCAACTTTCTTTTCTTTGCCAACCTTCTCAAATATCCAAACCATTGGCCCCCTCCCACTCTTCACCAGGTGGTTCTCCCTCGCCCCTCACACCCACTTGCGTTCTCTCCCCGTGCCACATCTCTCTCCTTTTCCCCTTCCTCCCCCCAACCAGAGGCGGACCCCCACCCTTGGCCAAGTGGTTCTCCCTCGCCCCTCGCACCCACTTGCTTGCTCTCCCCGTGCCACATCTCTCACTTCAGGTCCGATTAAACGAATCACTTCGAATCCAACTCGCTCACTCACTTCAAGTTGCCTGTCATCCTGCGGTGCATTGCCCAGCTCTCATACGCCTTGCGGTTTCTGCACTGCAGCAAAAGGGGCAGAGTGGGGACGGGAGGAAAAGGGAAGAGAAGGAGGGACTAGTGTTGCTCTGGAGTTTTGGTGCATTGGTGTGACAAAGCAGCACGGCTCCCTGCGGTACATTGCCCACCTCTCATAAGCCTGGGGTTCCTCCTGCACTGCAGCACAAGGGGTGGAGAGGGGAAAGCAAAGGGAATAGGAGAAAGGACTAGTGCTGCTCTGGTGCATCGGTGGGTTGGGAGGGACGGAAGCGAATACCCCCGAGCAGAAGGGCTTCCTGCGGTGCATTGCTTGCGCAGATATCCCTGCCTGGGGTTCCTGCACTGCAGCAACTCGAGCAGAGAGGGGTTGGGAGGACTAGTGTTGCTCTGGTGCACGGTGGGCAGGAGGGAAGAGAGTGGGTACTGCCAGGCAGCAGGTCGCCCTGCTGCGGTTCCTTTCCTGCACTCCAGCAAAAGGGGCGGAGAGAGAGTGGGAGGATTAGTTTTGCTCTGGTGGGTGGGAAGAGAGCGGGTACTGCCAGGCAGCAGGTGGCCCTGCTGCAGGGCATAGCCCAAAGCCTGTAAGTTGTAAGCCTTGGGGTTCCTGCGCCGGAGGAAAAGGGGTTCAGAGCGAGTGGGAGGACAAGTGTTGCTCCCAGGCAGCAGGTGGCCCTGCTGCAGGGCATAGCCCAGAGCCTGTAAGTTGTAAGCCTTGGGGTTCCTGTGCAGAAGGAAAAGGGGTTCAGAGCGAGTGGGAGGACAAGTGTTGTTCCCAGGCAGCAGGCCGCCCTGCTGCAGGGCATAGCCCAGAGCCTGTAAGCCCAGGGCACAGCCCCACTGCAGCAAAAGGGGCGGAGAGCGAGTGGGAGGATTAGTGTTGCCCTGGTGTATGGAGGGCGGGAGGAAAGAGAACAGGTACTGCCAGGCAGCAGGTCGTCCTGCAGCGGGGCATAGATAGCTCAGTGCTTGCAAGCCCAGGGGCATAGATAGCTCAGTGCTTGCAAGCCCAGGGGCATAGATAGCTCAGTGCTTGCAAGCCCAGGGGCATAGATAGCTCAGTGCTTGCAAGCCCAGGGGCATAGATAGCTCAGTGCTTGCAAGCCCAGGGGCATAGATAGCTCAGTGCTTGCAAGCCCAGGGGCATAGATAGCTCAGTGCTTGCAAGCCCAGGGGCATAGATAGCTCAGTGCTTGCAAGCCCAGGGGCATAGATAGCTCAGTGCTTGCAAGCCCAGGGGCATAGATAGCTCAGTGCTTGCAAGCCCAGGGGCATAGATAGCTCAGTGCTTGCAAGCCCAGGGGCATAGATAGCTCAGTGCTTGCAAGCCCAGGGGCATAGATAGCTCAGTGCTTGCAAGCCCAGGGGCATAGATAGCTCAGTGCTTGCAAGCCCAGGGGCATAGATAGCTCAGTGCTTGCAAGCCCAGGGGCATAGATAGCTCAGTGCTTGCAAGTCTTGGGGTTCCTGCACTGTAACAAGAGGGTGAGAAGTGGGGAAGAGGAGAGAACACTAGTGAATCCAACGCCTTCTCACCAAGCAACAAGGGACCAGCAGCCCCAAACGAAGGATAACAAAGTCCTTGATTCTGCCGGGTGTTTCATTCCTCTCACCTTAGATCTGTCTGCCCTAACAGCCAGGTCAAACGCCCAATCAGCCTTCTCTCCATCCCGCAGCCAGTGACACAGCAAATCTCCCCAGCCGCACCCACATTGGGCCTCCCTTCTCCGGTCCCTCATCCATCTCCCCTGTCTCGTGTCTCTCCCTCGTCTCACCTTGACTCTGCCTTGACAGACAGCGAGGTCAAACACCCTCTCAGCCCTCTCCCCATCTGGCAGCCAGCGGTACGACAGCCCCACCAGCACCCACACTGGACCTCTTTTCCCCCTTCCCCCCTCCATCTCGTACCGGAGGTTGCACTTCATTCCTCTCACCTGGGTCAGCTTCAATGGTTGACTTCAAAGCAAGGTTGAAAAAACGGCAGGCCGTTTTTTTCGATGGTATAATACGGCGATTTTCTGAAAAAAAATAGGTTATTTTAATAGAAAGGTTTTTTTTTTTTTTTAGTGCAAAAAAAAACGAGCACACAACTACGCTGCTGGTGGCTACGTTGCATGCAAGGTGGGTGTGTAATAAACAGAGAAAAACTCCTCCTGCTCCATTTTTTAAAATGCGCCTCGGTAGCATGCGTTCCGTTTTGCGCGAACTCATGCTACTGGGCGCGAAAAACAAACCAGCCCGTTGTGAAACGGACGACAGTTTCGCAACGGGTTTGGCGAACCGTCCAAAATGCGCGCCTCAGAATAGTGCCGAGGTCGCGCTTCGGGAATGTGATGACTGAACACATTTCTACGGTTGGGTGTACACCCAACCGCAGAAATGTGTAACATTTTTTTTTATTTTGCAAATTCCGTTATGTTTAAAAGATCGGTCGTTTAAAACGACATTTTTTTCCACAATGAAAATGAAACATTCGGAATCGTTTTTTATTGTATTCGTTTTAACACCCTTAACGACAGCCCCACCAGCACCCACGCCACGCCTCCCCTCCCTTCCCTCATCCATCTCCCCTTTCCTCATCCATCTCCCCTTTCCCGTCTCTCTCTCCCCATCTCACCTTTGGTCAGCCTTAACAGCCAGGTCAAACGTCCTCTCAGCATTCTCTGCATCTGGCAGCCAGAGCCCCACCAGCACCCCCGCTGGACCTCCCTTCCAAGTTCCCACACCCACATCTCGTACCCCCGGATGCTGTTTCGTCCCTCGCACCTTGGGTCAGCCTTGACAGCAAGTTCAAACGCCCTCTCAGCCTTATCCGCATCCGGCAGCCAGTGGTACGACAGCCCCACCAGCACCCACGCCGCTGACGGCGTCACCCAGTCCGCTGAGCTGGCTGCTGCTGACGTGGCAGGGGAGGAGCTGGCGGCTGACATGGCAGAGGAGGAGCTGGGCGCTGACGTGGCAGGGATGCTGGTGTTGTGGGCTGAGAGGATAGCAGCAGCCCGCTCATTGGCCTCTACGGCCTCCTGCACCCTGCCTGCCACGTGCAGGGCCTGGCCCTGGGATGAAAGAAGGGGCGCGGTCGGAAAGATGGGAGGGAGATTGGACAGATGGGCAGGGGTAAGTGGTGGTGTGTAATTGGCCTCCACGGCCTACCTGCAATCTACCTGCCACGTGCAGGGCCAGGCCCTGGGAGAGTGAGGGAGGGAATAGGCAAGGAAGGGAGGGGTTTTTCCAGGCAGGGATGAGCATAAGCATGTTCATTGGGAGGATACGTGCAGTGCAGGGATTGGCCCTGGGAGTACTAACGGAAGGATGGGGAAAGATGGGGGGATTGGATTGGATGGGCAGGGGTAAGCGGTGGTACGTCCATTGGCCTGCACTCACTCCTGCACCCTGCCTGCCACGTGCAGGGCCTGGCCCTGGGAGAGTGACAATGAGGGGAAAGGAAGATGGACGATTGGTTGTTTGGGGCGGGGATAAGCACAAGCACGTTCATTGGCCTCCTCGGCCTCCTGCAATCTGCCTGCCACGTGCAGGGCTTGGGCGTGGGAGAAAGGAGGGAAGGATGGGGAAAGCAGGGGTAAGTGGTGGTACGCCATTGGCCTCCACGGCCTCCTGCACGCTGCCTGCCACATGCAGTGCATGGTGTGAGTGCATGGTGTGAGAGCATGGAGTGAGTGCATGGAGTGAGTGCATGGTGTGAGTGCATGGTGTGAGTGCATGGAGTGAGTGCATGGAGTGAGTGCATGGAGTGAGTGCATGGTGTGAGTGCATGGTGTGAGTGCATGGTGTGAGTGCATGGTGTGAGTGCATGGTGTGAGAGCATGGTGTGAGTGCATGGTGTGAGTGCATGGTGTGAGTTCATGGTGTGAGTGCATGGTGTGAGTGCATGGTGTGAGTGCATGGTGTGAGTGCATGGTGTGAGTGCATGGTGTGAGTGTATGGTGAGAGTGCATGGTGTGAGTGCATGGTGTGAGTGCATGGTGTGAGTGCATGGTGTGAGAGCATGGTGTGAGTGCATGGTGTGAGTGCATGGTGTGAGTGCATGGTGTGAGTGCATGGTGTGAGTGCATGGTGTGAGTGCATGGTGTGAGTGCATGGTGTGAGTGTATGGTGAGAGTGCATGGTGTGAGTGCATGGTGTGAGTGCATGGTGTGAGTGCATGGAGTGAGTGCATGGTGTGAGTGCATGGTGTGAGTGCATGGAGTGAGTGCATGGTGTGAGTGCATGGTGTGAGTGCATGGTGTGAGTGCATGGTGTGAGTGCCTGCTGGGAGGGCATGGTGAGAACACACTCATTAGAGAGAGCAGCCTACCAGAGAGAGCAGCGCTCGTGGGAGCTCAGGGGCGTGGGAGACACCATCGCCAGGACTCGAATCGGCAGCAGATGGAAGCGAGTTATCAGTGGCAGCAGACAGCACATCGACGGCTCGTTGCGCGTCGGCTATGGCCTCTGGGAACCGGTGGATGCTGAACCACGCCTTGCCTGTTGGTGATGGGACAAACAGTGGGGTATCAGCAGCACTAGCAGCAGCAGCAGCAGCGGACAGCAAAGAGCAATGCCTGCCAGCCTCGCTTGCCTCATTCTCTCAACCTACATCCCACCTCGCTCCAGCAGCAAGTGCGCATTGTTTGGGTCCCCTGTCAGGTGCTCCGTGAGGTTGGCAATCTCCTGAACAGGTGAATTCAGGGGGAAACGGTCAAGTAAGCTCATCGAGTAGTCTGTGCATTGGGTTTTCAGGCTGGAAGTCTCCTGGACAGGTGGATTCAGGTGGAACAATACGGTTTGCTCAGAGGTGAGATAGGTCAGGGAAAGAGAAGGGCGAGACCAAGGGACGGGCTAGAAGATGGGAAGGGAGAGATGATTCACAGTGTGCAGTGCAGGCAGAGAGCGAGGGAGAGACCGGCGAAGGGGAGGCAGTCTCACCTGAAAGACTCTGTGGTGCAACGCCACTTCTGCATTCTCCAGTGGCGGTGGCGGGGAAATGAACGGCGAGAAGAAGGGAAGGCTGGGAAGAGCCGCAGTGTGCATGCAGAGAGCGAGGGATGAAGGGCGCTCCAGATGCAGGGTTGGAGAGGCGGCAGCAGGGGTTGCAGGGGAGCCCATGGGGAAGAGATGACGACCTGGGATTGGAAGAGAACGGAGACATGAAGGGGTGGAGAGGGATGAAGGGTGGTCCAGATCAGGCTTGGAGAGAGGGGAGGAGAGTTACAGGGGAGCCCATGGGGAAGAGATGCAGGCCATGGGGAAGAGATGCAGGCCATGGGGAAGAGATGCAGGCCATGGGGAAGAGATGCAGGCCATGGGGAAGAGATGCAGGCCATGGGGAAGAGATGCAGGCCATGGGGAAGAGATGCAAGCCATGGGGAAGAGATGCAAGCCATGGGGAAGAGATGCAGGCCATGGGGAAGAGATGCAGGCCATGGGGAAGAGATGCAGGCCATGGGGAAGAGATGCAGGCCATGGGGAAGAGATGCAGGCCATGGGGAAGAGATGCAGGCCATGGGGAAGAGATGCAGGCCATGGGGAAGAGATGCAGGCCATGGGGAAGAGATGCAGGCCATGGGGAAGAGATGCAGGCCATGGGGAAGAGATGCAGGCCATGGGGAAGAGATGCAGGCCATGGGGAAGAGATGCAGGCCATGGGGAAGAGATGCAGGCCATGGGGAAGAGATGCAAGCCATGGGGAAGAGATGCAAGCCATGGGGAAGAGATGCAGGCCATGGGGAAGAGATGCAGGCCATGGGGAAGAGATGCAGGCCATGGGGAAGAGATGCAGGCCATGGGGAAGAGATGCAGGCCATGGGGAAGAGATGCAGGCCATGGGGAAGAGATGCAGGCCATGGGGAAGAGATGCAGGCCATGGGGAAGAGATGCAGGCCATGGGGAAGAGATGCAGGCCATGGGGAAGAGATGCAGGCCATGGGGAAGAGATGCAGGCCATGGGGAAGAGATGCAGGCCATGGGGAAGAGATGCAGGCCATGGGGAAGAGATGCAGGCCATGGGGAAGAGATGAAGGCCATGGGGAAGAGATGCAGGCCATGGGGAAGAGATGCAGGCCATGGGGAAGAGATGCAGGCCATGGGGAAGAGATGCAGGCCATGGGGAAGAGATGCAGGCCACGGGGAAGAGATGCAGGCCATGGGGAAGAGATGAAGGCCTGGGTTGGGAAAAGAAAGGAGACAGGAAGGGGTGGTGGAGAGGGATGAAGGGTGCTCCAGAATCCAGATGCAGGATTGGAGAGGGGGCAGGGGTTGCAGGGGAGCCCATGGGGAAGAGATGTACGCCTGGGAAGGGAAGAGAACCGGAGAAAGGAAGAGGTGGTGGAGAGGGTTGTGTGCTGACGGAATGAAACAGCTGGATCGCAGTGAATTTCTAGGGGCTTATTTAGCTGTTATGACACGTGGAGTGGAGAATGAAACAGCTGGTTTTTAGTATGACACGTGGAGTGGAGAATGAAACAGCTGGTTTTTAGAATGACACGAGAAGTGGAAAATGAAACAGCTGGTTTTTAGTATGACACGTGGAGCGGAGAACGAAGGGCGTGAAGGTGACTTTTGAGTCGACTCATAAGCCACCTCGTGGAAATTGAATTGCGTGAAGGGGGGTTGAGAACCAGGTGAAAGGATACGGCAAGAACCAGGTGTCTTTTGAGTCGACTCATAAGTCACCAGGATCTGAAAGGCTCCATGCGTAGGGCAGCCTAGTCACAGAAGGTCAACACCTCCAACTCACCATGTCGCAGGAGAAAGAGCTCAGGACACGTGGCATCACTGAGTGTGCCCACGTCAATTGCCTCTTCTCCCTGCTCCTTCTCCCCGTCTCCTTCAACCACTCCTCTCTTGCCACCTGTAAGGCTTCTTCTTTCCCGTTTATCCTTCCCGCCCTTCCCTGATCCTCCCCTCCGTCCTCGCCCCCTCTCTCCATCGGCATTATCCTTGTTATCGTAAAAATCATTAACAGCATACTCATCGTTGTCGTCAGCGGCACCCCCAGCCAAGTCAGCATCACTATCACGGTTATTGTCATAACCATCCACGTCAGCAGCAACCCCAAACTGAGGATCCCGAACCTCCCCCTCAATCTCCACCCCACCCTCCTTATCCTCGTTACTGAGTCGCAAGAGGGGATCAGGAACTTGGTAACAGAAGTCGTCATTGCTGGTAGCGGTTGAGTGAGTGAAGAGGAGGAAAATAAGGGGGGAGGGAAAAGGGGAGGACTAAGAAATGAAAAGCGAGGGGTCATTGTGGTCCTGTAGCATTAAAATATTAATGAACAGAGCAGTTTTATAACGAGACGCTTCTAAGCGAAGGTATGAGCAAACGAACCAGAAGATTTTCGGGTCATCGAGGCTGTCCTTCACTTGAGTCACAATGACGGCCATCATTCGCACCCACTCATTAGAGTCACATCCTCGCTCTACGGCCAGAGGCCCGCTGACATACCCGCTGGCATTGCGGGTGATACCATCGGATGTGACTACATCGGGAGGAAGAAACTCAGGCTGAGGGGAATTGAGAACGGTACAGCTTAGGAAAGAGAGCGCAAGGCAGATGAATGCCTTCGCCATGGGAGTGTGGGGGGTAAAGTTTTCACGCTCGCATCGAGACGAATCGCATCGAGACGAATCGCTGTCGGTACTGGTTTACTAGGGAAGAAATGTTGCAGATTCTCTAACTAAAAGTCCAGAATATGGTTGAATATAAGTAGCTTCGAGAATGTCGTGTTCGATCAGGAGAACTGCGATGCGAACGAGTGCATCGTGGTTACCGCCGCATTTCGCGAACGTTTCAACGAAGTGCGCATCACTGCGTGATCGCGATTCGTCATTCGCGAAGACAAAGCGACCAGTCTGACTCCTGCTCGCGAAGAGAGTGTTATATTAGCCACACGCAACAAATTTACACCGACATGCCTTTGACATTTTATAATATTTTTGAAGGAATTTGTGAATTAAGGGCGTTTGCAACGCATGACCATGGTTTGAAACAATTTAGAATTCAAACTGGACCACCTAACCTGTGTCTGTTTTCTTAATTCTCTAGAATAACCCATCTATACTACACTCCATTGCCACTAGTGGCTCGTCGTCTGCCATGGCGTCATGGCTGAAACATGCCAACAAAAATAATTGAATACATGTCGCATGAGCGAAGGGAAGAATCTTAAAAGAGGGCGCAAAAAATCCACACCATTGATAACTTGTAACTATCAACTTAATATATATTTGTATAGGCTTGGAAGTGTTAGGTGCCCTACAATTACTGAATCCTACTGTAGAGGGTGTCAAACATAACTTATACAGTTACTGTAGACTATATATGTTTGTGCCTTAGTGGGTACAGCTCACTAGTCTATATAGCCTTGTATCTCCCCATTCTAGTTAATCATTCATTCATTCTGATATGGTATCATAGTAGGTTAGGTCCCCCCCCCTAGCCCGCCCACGCTTCCGCCCCTAGGCTCTAGCCGCCGTCGTGCCCCGCTCCTAGCCGGCCCCCTGGCCGTCGCGCCCGTCCCTAGCCGGCCCCCTGGCCGTTGCGCCCGCCCCTAGCCGGCCCCCTGGCCGTACGCGCTCGTCCCTAGCTGGCCCCCTGGCCGTCGCGCCCGCCCCTAGCCAGCCCCCTGGCCGTACGCGCCCGTCCCTAGCTGGCCCCCTGGCCGTTCGCGCTCGCCCCTAGCCGGCCCCCTGGCCGTTCGCGCCCGCCCCTAGCTGGCCCCCTGGCCGTCGCGCCCGCTTCTAGCCGGCCCCCTGGCCGTCGAGCCCCTCCTAGCCGGCGCCCTGGCTGTTTCGCGCCTGCTCCTAGCCAGCCCCCTGGCCGTTCGCGCCCGCCCCTAGCCGGCCCCGTGGCCGTTCGCGCCCGCCCCTAGCTGGCCCTCTGGCCGTTCGCGCCCGCCCCTAGCCAACCCACTCGCCGTCGCGGCCGCCCCTAGCTGCCGTCGCAGCCGCCCCTAGCTGTCGCGGTTGCCTCTAGCCTCCGTCGCGGCCATCTCCAGCCGCCTCACGGTCGCTCCTGCCGTCGCGACCGCCCCTAGCCGCCGTCGCAGCTGTCCCTGGCCGCTGTCGCGGCCGGCTCTACTCGCCGTCGCGCCAGCTCCTAGCCGGCCCCCGTTGCCGCCGTTTGCTGACCCCTCGCGTCCGCCGTCTGCCGGCCGTCCCCTGCATTCGCGTCGTCGCCAGCCCGCCGCCGCCTCGGGTTCGGCCCGTTCTTCCTGATCAGCACCGCCCTGCGAACCCCCCGGTACCGTACTGCACAGCTTTGTACCACACTGCACCGCTTTGCACCGCACTGCACCGCTTTGTACTGTACTGCACCGCACTGTACCGCACTGCACCGCACTACACCGCACTATACCGCACTGCACTGCACTGCACTGCACTGCACCGCACTGCACCGCACTACACTGCCAGCGCCGCACTGCACCGCACTGTACTGCTCTACCCTGCCCTCTATTGTCACTGATGGCGGAGGTCCTTTGCTTTGACGCTGAGGGCCAGCCGATTGAGTTTGATGCGTGGCTTGCTGACCTCCGTCGCCACCACACTGGTCAGCGGCAGGATGGCCACTCGCTGTCTGTCCATCTTGACGGTACCCTCCCCTGCCCTGACCCCCCCGCTGCACTGTCTACTGACCCCTCGTCCGCTGAGCGTGAGTCCGCTGCGGCCACTGCCCTTACTCGCTCTGTCTGGCTGTCCCGTGACGCTGTCACACAGCGTGCTATTAGCAATGCCCTCCCCCTGTCCGAGCGACCTCGCTTCAGGTCTATCACCACTGCCCCGGCTTTCCTTTATGCTGTTGTCCAGCGCTATTCCACCCCGCCTGCTACCTCGGTAGGTCGCCTGATCCTGCCGATGCTTTTCCCTGACCTTGCATCGTTCCCCACTGTTGCCGACCTGGCCGCTCACCTGCGCACTATAGACGAGACCTGGCGTGCTGCCTGCACTGACACACAGCTTCTAGCCCACCAACCGCCCCTCACCTCTACTCTCTACCTGCTAGCCACCCGCCTCCCTGACCGTCTTGCCACTGCCCGTGACCACTTCCTTAGCGTCCACCCCGCAGACCTCACCCTCACTGACTTTGTTGACACCCTCTCCGCTATAGAGGCCCGCCACCGCTCTATCGCTCAGACCAGCAGTACTGTGCCAGTCCCTATCTTTCAGGGTTGCGCCTCCGCTCAGTGCACCTTCTTCGACGGTTCTGCTGCTGTGGCTGAGACTGCCGTTGCAGAACAGGTCCGTCCGGGGAAGGGTCGCCCCCCCAAGGCTGGGCGTAGCGGCGGGGGTGGGGGTGCAGGTGTAGGTGGTGCTGGAGCTGGGTCCCCTGGTGGTGGTGCGGACGAGGGGACCCTGACAGGTGCAGCCGAGCAGCCGTCTCAGCAGCCGCCGGTGTTGCAGGCGGACCCGCGTCAGCCGCAGCAGTCGCAGCAGCCGCAGCACTCGCAGCAGCAACAGAGACGAGCGAGTGGTCTCCCGCCCGGGTGGCCTCGCGCTGGTGGTAGCGCTGGACTTGGTGGTGGTGCGCGTGGTGGGCTGCCGGTTGGTGGTTCGGGTGACGCGCGCTGTCAGTACCTGCTCTAGACCGGTCCTTGTCGTGGCTTCGTTTGTGGTAAGATCGGTCACACCTCCGTTCACTGTTTCCGTCGCCTGGATGACCTGTTTCGTCAGCGCTTTGGCCCGTCGCCCGACCTCCCCGACTGGCACACCTTGCTTTGTCGTAGGGTTCAGATTTTTTATCTGGATATGGATGAGATTGTTACTGCTCTGCATGTGATGTATGCTGATGACTCTAGTGTGCTTTTGTCTTATTACCCCTCGTTGCCTAGTGTAGGTGTGCCTTGCTTAGACTCCCCTGCTGCGTCAGACGTAGGATCCCCTGCTTTGTTTAGCCTTGGTGCTTCCGTCGCTGCTTCGCCTCCGACCACCACTGCCGCGCTCTCCTTCACCCTCGATTCTGGCGCTTCCCGGTGCTTCTTCCGCGACTCCACCACGTTGACACCGCTTCCTGTCCCTGCCGCAGTCTATATTGCTGACCCCTCCTCCGGCCATGTAGTCGCCCGCAGTTCCACCACCCTCCCCTGCCCGGCGGTTCCTTCGGGCTCGCTCACAAGACTGCACATCCCCTCGTTCTCCAGGAACCTAGTTGGTGTCGGCTGCCTTCAGGACCTTGGCTTCACCACTACGTTCCCTGGACACGAGCGGTACGCTGTCTGTACCGAGGCCGCCACTGGTGCCCCCCTGTCCACGTTCCCACGGGACCCGGTGTCCGGTCTCTTCACACTGGACACGGTGACCCTCCCGGCTGGGACCCCCCCTTAGGTGGCAGCGTCTTGCCGGTTACTGCTGCCTGCTCCTGTCGGTCTCTCACCCACCCGAACCTTCTCTGGCCCCACCGCCTAGGTCACCCTGCGCTCCCGCGTCTGCGTCACATATCACAGCACGGTCTCGTCCTAGGCCTCCCCGGGTCGTTCCCCGAGTCTCCCTCCTCCCCAGCCCCACCTTGCACACCCTGTGTCGAGGGCCGGCTCCGCCGTGCCCCTCACTCCTCCTCATTTCCCCCTACCGCAGCACCGCTACAGACTCTGCACATGGACGTCTGGGGCCCCGCCCCCGTCCATGGGCCGCGTCGAGAGCGCTACTTCCTAGTGCTTGTCGACGACTCCACGCGCTACACCACTGTGTTCCCCCTGGAGCGGAAGGCCGAGGTGCCTGACGTTCTTATCCGGTGGCTTGTCTCTGCGCGTGTCCACCGCGGTCTCCCTGTCTTCCGTCACCACTCCGACCATGGTGGCGAGTTTGCCTCTGGTGTCCTTGGTCGTTTCTGTCGTGCAGAGGGCATCACCCAGACGTTCACCTTGCCGGACTCCCCGCAGCAGAATGGGGTCGCTGAGCGGCGCATCGGTTTGGTCATAGAGGTGGCTCGCACCTCCATGATCCATGTCGGTGCACCCAATTTTCTGTGGCCGTTCGCCGTTCACTACGCTGCTCACCAGCTTAACCTGTGGCCGCATCCCCAGCAGCCTCAGGTTTTGCCGACCCTTCTTTGGTCTGGGTCCCCTGGTGACGCGTCTGCGTTTCACGTTTGGGGCTGCCTTGCTCACGTTCGTGCCTCTGGCATGGACAAACTCACTGCCCGCACCCTTCCCTGTGTCTTCCTCGGCTTCCCCCTTGACGCTTCTGACTGGCACTTCTACCACCCGCCGTCTCACCGGTTCTTTCACTCCCGCGACGTCACCTTTGACGAGTCCGTCTCCTTCTTCTGCCGCTTCCCCCACCGAGGTCCCCCGGTTACCCCCCCCCCTATTCCCAGTCAGCACTTCCCTGGTCGTCGCCGTCCCTCCTCCTCCCTTTCCCCGTCCTGCCCCCTCTGGTGTGTCCCACGTCACCCCACTTATGTCGGTTGTCCCGGTTGAGGAGTCTGCTAACTCTGGGCCTGCCTCTTCTCAGGTATCTCCTCCTCCGCCACCTCCGCAGCCGCCATCGCCACCGCTGTCGCAGCCGTCGTCACCACCGTTGCCGCCGCCGCAGCCGTCATTGCAGCTGCTGCCGCCTCAGCCGTCGCCGCAGCAGTTCGTTGCCTCTGGGGGTGCTGGAGTTGGGGTGGGTACTAGTCCTGGGACTCCTCTCGTGGCTTGTCCCGGCGGGCCTGGGGGTGGTACCAGTGCTCGAGGGGTGTTTCTTCTGGGGGTGCTAGCGTGGAGTGTTCTGGAGGTAGCCGCCAGGCAGCTTGCGGTCTCGGTGTCGGTGTCACACCGCCGCCGCAGCAGTCCCCGCCGGTGTCTGCTCTTCGCCTGTTCGGCCTTCCGTCTTCTGGCCCCGTGTCTGTGCCTCCTCCTCCTCCCGTCTACGGCCCCGTGTTCCCTCCTCCGGACTAGTCTCCGGACTAGTCCCCTCTTGTGTCCCCTCTTCTGTCTCCTGACCCGACTCCTCCGTCTCACGTCTGGTCTCGCAGTTCCTCCCGTGCTCGACCTGTCTCCCCTGTCTAGCGCTCTCACCCTATGTTGCTTCGTTCCCACGCATCTCGTCCTCCCCTTCTCCCGTCGCCCCCTCCGTTCTCCCTTGTCGTTGCTCCCCCCCCTCTGTCTGACTACCTGCGTGCCGCTCGTCATCTTGTTCCTCGGGTCCTTGCTTCTCTCGTTACCGACCCGTCTGTTCCGGTTTCAAGTCTTGACGACCTTGTCGCTGCGGTCGCTGACTTCGCCTCTACTCGCCACCTTGACTGCGCCACCGCTCTGGTCTCTGACCCTACCTGTTCTCCGTCTGTCGGGGGTGCTCCTACCCTCGGCAGTGATGCACCTGCCCTTGGCAGTGACGTTCTAGAGGACCGCCAGTACGAGCTTGCTTTCCTGTCCGAGGCTGCTCCCCATCTCTGCTCTATGCTTCTAGTCCCTGAGGGTGACCCTGACGCTTTCGACATCCCGACCCCTCGCACTAACGCTGAGGTGGTCTCGGGACCTTGGGCCTCTTAGTGGATAGCTGCCATGGAGCAGGAGATGGCATCTTGGAGATCCACCGGCACCTACGTCGACGCAGTTCCCCCACCTGGGGTGAACGTAGTCGATGGCCGCTGGCTCTTCAAGGTGAAGCGCTCTCCTAGAGAGCCGCCTGTGTTCAACGCGCGCTATGTGGCTAGAGGCTTCAGTCAGCGTGAGGGGGTGGACTTCTTCCAGACCTTCGCTCTGACCCCGAAGATGACTGCTGCTACACGTAGCAGCTCAGCGTGACTACGAGCTTCACTCCCTTGACTTCTCCACTGCGTTTCTTCAGGTCAGTCTACACAAGCAGGTCTACCTGCGCCGCCCTCAGGGCTTCACTAGTACCTTCCCTCCTGGGACCCAGTGGCTCCTGCGGCGCCCCGTCTACGGCCTGCAGCAGGCTCCCCGTGAGTGGCACGACACGCTGCGTGCGACGCTTGCTGACCTGCAGTTCTTTCCGTCCTCTGCAGACCCCTCGCTCTTCGTTCGTGCTGGCCAGACCCCGTTCTACATCCTTGTTTACGTAGACGACCTGGTCTTTGCCACGGCAGACAGGGACGAACTGGCCTCCGTGAAGGCAGAGCTGCTGAAGAGACACACGTGCACTGACCTTGGAGAACTGCGCCACTACCTTGGCTTGCAGATCTCCCGGGACAGAGCAGCGCGCACCATCACCCTCACTTAGTCACACTTGGTGCGCCAGGTCCTTCAGAGGTTCGGCCTTCAGTTCTCCTCTGCACAGCCCACTCCTCTGCCTCTAGACCACAGGCTCTCCGCTCCAGTTCCTCAGGAGTCGGCAGAGCCCGGTTGTCCTTACGTAGAGCTGGTGGGTTGCCTCATGTACCTGATGACTTGCACTCGCCCAGATCTCGCATACCCTCTCAGCATCCTGGCTTGCTTTGTGGCTACAGGCAGACACCGACCTCAACACTGGTCTGCCGCTAAGAGGGTTTTGCGTTATCTTGCAAGTACATCGGGCATGGGGTTAGTGCTAGGAGGACGCAGGCCAGTGGTCCTTACTGGACACACAGACGCTTCTTGGGCAGACGACGCCGAGACCCTCAGGTCCTCGCAGGGCTACTGCTTCAACCTTGGTTCACGTGCCGTCTCGTGGAGAGCTACCCGCTCCTCGTCTGTTACCCAGTCCAGCTGTGAGGCTGAGATCTACGCCGGTGCCATTGCGGCACAGGAGCTCCGCTGGCTGACCTTCTTGCTCACTGACTTAGGTGAGCGGCCTAGCTCTGCCCCGGTCCTGTACGCTGACAACAGGGCCATGATACTCCTGTGTCAGGAGCCTCGACTCGAGGGCAGAGCGAAGCACATCCAGCTGCGGTACTTCCTCCTGCGTGAGCTTCAGCAGCGCCGCCAGGCGCGCGTAGTACACTTGGCCTCCGGTGCCAATACAGCTGATATCTTTACGAAGGCGCTTGCGCCTAAAGATCATCAGCGGCACTGTGTACAGCTAGGTCTCGTTCCTGTAGCCTCTCACTTGCTAGGGCATTGACTTTGTACTGTCCTTTATATATTTTTTTTACCCTGACTGTCCTTGTGGCCTCTCCCAGTGGTTGGACTAGTAGTGCCGCCCTTGTCTTGCTCTTGCCTTGTCTGTACTCCTTGTGACTGGTCTTTAGACCCTTGTCTCAGAGGCTGGACTAGTAGTGCCGCCCTGAGCTGTTTCTTCCCTTGTTAGGCATTGCCCCTCTATAGTCTAGGGGGTGTGTCAAACATAAATTATGCAGTTACTGTAGACAATATATGTTTGTGCCTTAGTGGGTACAGCTCACTAGTCTATATAGCCTTGTATCTCCCCATTCTAGTTATCATTCATTCTGGTAGTACAAACGTTGTGAGAACCTAACCTCCTCTCCCACGTTCGAGGGAGAATCCAAATGATTCGTTGGGAGAAACCTTTCGTTTGGCTGGCAAAAGGAAAGTGCTGCCTGCCGGTTTCTAGAAGTAGCCACTGTGCGCCGTAATAAGAGCAATAGCGTCGATACTGAAGGGTGAGCAGCAGAGTCTTCTCACTGAAAAGCGTCAACCATCTTCACTAAACGAACACATCATAAACCTAATTGTTCTTCCTTAATTCTCTCCAATAGCTGCTCTATATTACACTCCATTGCCATTGTAGGTGCATCATCTATGGTGGCTTGGTCACTGAAACACGCCAGCCAGAGAAAGCAGGTACACATGAGATGGGATGGGGAGTTAGGATGAGAGAAAATAGCGCGAGGTAAAACTGTACAATGTGCTACATCACTAGAGAAGGAATCATTGCATGCTCACGAAGCAAAACCTCGCCTGTTCTGTATGGGTTCATGATCCACCGCTGAGCGCACCACATATAGTGCCCTTAGCGATATGTGTTACCGTCACATGCTTCATAGGTAACACCCTCACCTGTTCTGTATGGGCTCATGATCCACAGCCGAGCGCACCACATACAGTGCCCTTCCCACTATGTCTCTTATGTGCACGGGGCCAATGGTGCGGCTGTCTAGAGCCTCCTGCGAAGGTGGTATGGGAGAAGCAGCGTATGAGAAGAACGCGTAAGAGAAAGAGATTGCACAGTGTCCATCCTGTTGTACCTTTTAGGTGCACAGGGTCTATGGTGCGGCTATCTTTAACCTCTTGCGAAGATGGAGTAGGACAAGGAGGAAAGGTGACTGTGTGAGTGCATGTGCATGTGCGTGCTTGCATGAGCATGTTTGTTGTGTGTGCAAAGAGAATGAGAGGGGGAGGGAGGGAGGAGGGGGGGAGAGATTAGGAGTCATCATGGTCTAATTCAGGTAGCAGTATCGAACAAATCGCTCCGTCACCCTAACATCCCCGAACCGGTCACATCAACCTAAACTCTGGACCCAATACCTTTGCAGGAACAGCAGGGTTGTCAGCAAGTAGCCAAAAGTGATTTCTCTCTATCCGAACCGGCTCATCCGACGGCTGAGATGACACCATCTCGTCTCCAGCTACGGCTGCCACTCGCCGGAAAACAAAGGGGACTGGTGCGGGTGCTGCTTCTGCCTCGGGACTGGCTGGGTTGGCGGCGTTGCCGGGGAGCTGACTGGCTGGGCTGGCGGCGTCGTTGGGAGACGGACTGGCCGAGTTGGCGGCGAAAGAAGGGGGATCAGGGCTCAACGCCACAACATCTCCGACGAAAATGGGACTGCCAAGGAAGGAATGGTGGTTCAGGAATAAGACTAGGATTTGATGGGAATCCAACCACAACAGAGGTTTCTGCAGCCAATCACACATCCAGCTCGCAGCATCTCCAACAGCAATCCTAATGCAAAGATTTCTCCTCGCAGCCTCAGACGGATGGGTTTGAAATGGATTCGAAAAGCGCAGCCTCGGATGGATGGATTTGGAATGGCTTCAGAATGCATTGATGCGGGCCCCGGGGGGAGAAGGGGAGGGGGGAGGGGGGGTTGGGCGTGTGAGTAAGATAACAGCCAAGTTGCAGCACTCACTGCCAAAGGTGCAGCACTCACTGGCAAAGGTGCAGCACTCACTGCCAAAGGTGCAGCACTCACTTCCAAAGGTGCAGCACTCACTGCCAAAGGTGCAGCACACTTACTGCCAACGAGTCGGCGGCAGATACCGGAAGAGCACCCACTCGTCCTTGGTCCCCCTTATAGTCGGCCTCATGGACTCGCCGCCCAGCGCTGATGGCTTGAGCGCGGTTAGATAAGACGACTCGCTGTCCAGAATTTTGGATAGAGCTGCTACCATATTGAAGTAGGGGGGCCGCCTTCCCTGGCTCTTCTTCATGTAGATCTGAGAGGTGGGAGGGAGGGTGGGAGGGGGCAAGGGAGGGAGCGCTGTTAGATAGGAAGAGTCGTGAATCAGAACCTTGGAAAGAGCTGCTACCATGTTGAAGTAGGGGGGGCGCCTTCCCTGGCTCTTCTTCATGTAGATCCGAGAGGTGGGAGGGAGGGTGGGAGGGGGCAAGGGAGGGAGCGCTGTTAGATAGGAAGAGTCGTGAATCAGAACCTTGGAAGGAGCTGCTACCATGTTGAAGTAGAGGGGGCGCCTTCCCTGGTTCGTCTTCATGTAGACCTGAGAGGTGGGAGGGAGGGAGGGAGGACAAGAGCGCTGTTAGATAGGAAAAGGGGGGGGGGGCATCTTTCCCGCATGCGGCGCTCTGTGGGTCTGACAGACAGGTAACACAGGGAGACGGAGGGAGGGAGGGAGGGAGGGAGGGAGGGAGGGAGGGAGGGAGGAGGAGGGAGGAATAAACAACGAGACCCCATGGCCCTCGAAAGTGCTCCCAATAGCTTGAAGAACGGGGAGATCCTTTCGTGTGCTTCCACAGCAAAGGAGATCCTTTCGTGTGCTTCCACGGCAAAGGAGCTCCTTTCGTGTGCTTCCACGGCAAAGGAGCTCCTTTCCTGAGTGCTGCTCCATGTGGGTCTGACAGGTAACACGGGGAGACAGAGGGAGTGGCGGGATGAGGGGAGGGCGGGATGAGGGGAGTGGCGGGATGAGGAGCGAGGGATGAGGGGAGCGAGGGATGAGGGGAGGGAGGGATGAGGGGAGGGAGGGATGAGGGGAGGGAGGGATGAGGGGAGGGAGGGATGAGGGGAGAGAGGGAATGACGGTTCAGATGCCATTGAAAGTGCTCTCACTAGCGTGAACTTTGAAGCAGGGGGAGATCCTTTCCTGCAACCTGCTCCGCATTCACGAGGGGGTCGCTGTACACTGTGTATCGCGGATAACAAAGAAAAGAAACCTCCTCAGCAGAGCATAACTTCAACAGATGCCCCACTCACAGTCGTAAGAACGTAGCGGTACCAGGAACGCTTCGGAAGGATAAGAATAACAACATAAGAATGTAGATAACACTCATCGACTCCCTATTATCAGATGCATCACTCGCACTCGTAAGCACAACTCATATTCGTAAGGACGAGGCAGTAAAAGGAACCCCTCAGCATGGAACGTAGGATACGAAATGCATTGCCCGCCTGCAGCCCACTCACATTCGTAAGCAAGTAGCTGTAAAAGAAACCCTTTCAGTATGGAATATAAATAAAATTTGACTACTTGCAGATGCCGCGCACTCACGTCCTCAAGCACGAAGCTGTACAAGTTAACCTTCTGGAGCTTGTATTTCAGCCGCATCAGCCATGCCGCCATGCCTGCTGGACCCGAACCCTCCTGATGCTAGCTTGGCTGCTCTTCGGCTTGTCTAGTGGTTACAGCTCGCCTGACGGTTACAGCTCGCCTGACGCCAACAACTTGTGGTGTGATTCTGTGGGTTACAATGTCAAGTGGTTCCTGCCACATATATTTCTATAGCTACTCTGACAATACAACTCGTTTAATCATTATAGATCGTCAGCCTGACGAATTGTATGATGGTTACAACTCATATGGTAGTTACAGCTGTAACCGATTCGTTTGACGATCTCGGCTAGAGAGAAATCGAGGTTGCCTGACGCTCTAGTCTATCGCAATTCTAAACCGGGAGTCACGAGGAGAGAGGCCAGAGTGTCGGGCAACCTCGATTCCTCAACAGCAGCATGAGGCTACGAGGAGAGAGGCAACAGCAGACGGCCGTTGCTACCGGAGACGGAGGTGAGGCTACGAGGAGGGAATCGAGAAAGCCCGAGACACTGTCTAGGCTTAACTCTAAACCTAGAACCAAAACGGAAGGAGACGTCCGTCGCTACCGGCGACGCTGATGAGGCTAAGATGCCGGCGAAAGGCTATCGGGCGAACAGCCTGGACGGATCGGATGCGGCCGAAGGGCGAACGACGGGTGCGAACGACGGACGTCAGAGACTCATGCGCTCGTTTTTGTTCTTGTTGAGTCGAGTCGGGAGACGACAGAGGGTAGATAGAAGCGGTTAATGCCTTCACCCCCGTCGCTAATACATTCTAGGGAGCGAAATATAACGACCAGGAATGGGATGTGTCAGGATGGAAAGCCGCATCTAGCGAAATATTACAGCTGCATCTAGCTCTGGCCTGGAATGCGGTCCAACCAGCTCAATGGCTGCCACCCTACATCTTCATCCCATCCTAATGAGAATCCCGATCAAGTCCTGATTGGGTCCGTCTCGCTTACAGCAAGAGAGCACTCAACTACAGCTGATTCGAAATGACACAATAAACGTCGCTCAAACAGAATTTCATGGGATTTTAAGATGTCCGATAAGACAAAGGTTGTTTGGCGCAAGAGTTGGAAATACCAGAATAAGAAGATAAATGAAATTACTGCCCCATACTTGTATGGAGATTTCTTGAGATAACTCCGGCAAACTGTGTGTGAGGAAGCCATGTGGACAATACCAAAGCATGAACGATGAGTTTCCTTCTAGAAAATTGTCTAACATCTCCATCAATAGGTCGGTAAAGAAAAACGAGCACATCATTCATTAACCTAATTGTTCTTCCTTTATTCTCTCCAGTAGCTGCTCTATATGACACTCCATTGCCATGGTAGGTGCATCATCTATGGTGGCTTGATCACTGCAACATGCCAAAGAAAAAAATATGCACATGCTAAATTGGATGCTAAATATATGCACATGCTAAAAAAATATGCATATGCACTGAAGCTTGGATTGGATGAGTGAGAAAGTAGCACAAGCTAAAACTGCCCAATGTGCTACATGTAACATGCATCGCTTTAGAATGAAGCATAGCATGTTAATAGCCACCACCTACCTCACCTGTTCTGTATGGGTTCATGATCCACCGCCGAGCGCACCACATATAGTGTCCTTCCAGTGATATGTGTTACCGTTACATGCTTCATAGTAAACACCCTCACCTGTTCCGTATGGGCTCATGATCCACAGCAGAGCGCACGACATACAGCACCCTTCCAGCAATATGTGTTACCGTCACATGCTTCATAGTAAACACCCTCACCTGTTCTGTATGGGCTCATGATCCACTGCAGAGCGCATCACATACAGTGCCCTTCCCGCTATATCCTTTATGTGCACGGGGCCAATGGTGCGGCTGTCAAGAGCCTCCTGGGAATATGAAATGGAAGGAGGAAGCGTAAGATAAATAGGAGTGAGTGAAAGGAACGAGATGGCACTATGAGACTCAGCTGCTGATGCCTCAAAGTGTGAGTTCTAACTGGCTTCTGAAGAAAAAAAAATATGCATGATCCCCACAGCACCCTGAACCTGGTACCTTTGCAGGAACAGCAGGGTTGTCGGCAAGCAGCCAAAAGTGATCCTTCTCTATCCGAAGTGGCTCATCCGACGGCTGAGATGACACCATCTCGTCTCCAGCGACGGCTGCCACTCGCCGGAAAACGAAGGGGAGCTGATTGGGTGCTGCCTTTGCTTCGGGAGGTGCTTCTTCTTCTTCGGGATTCGCGGTAGAGACATTTGCGAGGTTGCATCTCATCGCCACAACATCACCAACAGAGATCGTACTGCCAAGGGGGGAATGGGTGGACTGGAGACATGTTTCCTTAAGAGTTGCTTCTGCCTCAGGATTGGCTGGATCGGTGGCCGCAGAAGAAGCATGCAGGGAGACCAGCTCTCATCGCCAAAAAAACCCCCTAACTGAGATCGTACTGCCAAGGGAGGAGTGGGTGGATCAATATTGGGTACTGCAGATAGCAGTAGAGCACCCACTCGTCCTGCAGTTTCAAACAGCCTATTTGAAACAACACGAATAGTATTCGTCTCCTAAGAGCAATGCCTCGGAATAGGGATACTTAGCAAGGCACGTGCAACACTTACTGCCAAAGGGGCGGGAGCAGATACCGGTAGAGCACCCACTCGTCCTTCGTCCCCCTTATAGTCGGCCTCATGGACTCGCCTCCTAGCGCTGATGGCAAAAGGGCTGTAACGTACGAAGACTCGTGCTCCAGGACCCGGTTGAGTGCTCGCACTAGCTTGGGGATGGGTGGGAGTTGCCCTGGGTGCTGCTCTAGGTGTGTCTGACAGGTGGGAGGAGGGCGGGACGAGGGAGAGAGGGGAAAAGGGAGGAACGACGCCCTGTCAAATATGAAGACTCGTGCTCCAGAGCCCGGTTGAGTGCTCACACTAGGTTGAGGGAGGAGTTGCCCTGGGTGCTGTTTTACGTGTGTCTGACAGGTGGCCAGAGGGAGGGAAGGAGGGAGGGAGGGAGGGAGGGAGGGAGGGAGGGAGGGAGGGAGGGAGGGAGGGAGGGAGGGAGGGAGGGAGGGAGGAGGGAGGGAGGGAGGGAGGGAGGGAGGGAGGGAGGGAGGAGGGAGGGAGGGAGGGAGGGAGGGAGGGAGGGAGGGAGGGAGGGAGGGAGGGAGGGAGGGAGGGAGGAGGGAGGGAGGGAGGGAGGGAGGGAGGGAGGGAAGGAGGGAGGGAGGGAGGGGGGAGAGAAGTGCCACGAGGATGTAGCTGTACATGAAGCATTTTATTCATGGATGATAATAGACGAAGTTGAAGTGTTATTTTACTGATTGATTATTACATGTACACTCCAGCACTCACGCGCACGAGGACGTAGCTGTACATGAAGCTCTTCTGAAGCGTATATTTCAGCCGCGTCTGCCACGCTGCCATGGCTGGCAGCTGCAAACAACTGAAATCCTGCTGGCCGCGCTGGTCTTCAGGCTGAATTGCTGCTCGAACCGACACCAGCAGCAGCAGCTGGGTGACGCTGGGTGACGCTGGGTGACGCTGGGTGACGATAGTGCGAGACTCGGTTCGTCGGAAAATATCAATAAACGTCTTGTATCAATTCGCTTATGTGTAAAACAGCGACGAAGCCGCAGATGACGACGACACTGACGGCGTGCTTTAGCTCTACTCGATAAGGCTAATCTTCCAGGGCCCTAACTCTCAAGGCGTGTCAATAAAACAAAAAAATCAGCAGCCTTATAGATTCAAGTCCCAATTGTCTCTCAAGGCTTGTCTAGAAAACAGAGAAACAGCAGCAGACGACGGCGAGGCAAATGAGTCTTAGAAGCCGAGAGAGGCGACGATCAGGTATTGAACGAACCGAATGGAAATCAGGGACTCAAATTAGATACTCTAAGCGGCGTTGCTGTCGAGGCACCAAAGGACTGTTCTTGAGGAGAGACACTACATATAGACACGCACTCGTCGCGGAGTATGTGTATTACAGTAGATGGCTAGAGCCAATTCTGCCGCGACGCGATTACAATGGCCAGAGAAGAAGAGGAGGTATCGGAGAATAAGCAAACCCGGTTTTCAACACGGTCTCAACTTCATCGCAACTCAAATCATTTGCAAATAGTAAATCTATCAGAAGCAGCTCTAAAACGATGTCATCTCAATACCCTATTGGTCGAAAGGCGTCACGTGTGGCAAAATGATTTCGACTTCGAGCGACGGGCCAATCAGTTGGATGTTGATATCAACTCGGCGAACTTGTGGGTGGTAGCGGCCCTGTCGCGTTTTGCATACTGTGAGATTCAATAGCAGCAATCTTGTAATACACCTCGCGAGAAGATGGGGTTGTACATGTTGCATGTGTAAAATATGTCATTGTAGGTTGTGTATGTGTTGTGTAATTGAGCCCAATGTCTTATACTGGTTCTGTGTTGTTTAATTATTCATTTGAACTTTATCAGAGTATGTTTTTAAAATGTGATCATCGAAATGACGCCTCCACCATTAGCAGTGTAGTACCTGGTACGTTGCATGGCAAAAGGATTGGTGAAGGGTTAGCTGCCTAATTTATATGAGATCAGGCAGTGCCGCGTATATCACCCAGCAAGGTGAATATCGTCCAGTTGGAGATTGATGAGTGGATTTAACAGCCGATGTTTGCACAAGCATCCACAACCACAATGTCGGGCGCCAGCGAGGAACGTGTTTTGCCACGTAGCCTAGTTTTTGGTGTAGCATTGTCAGAGTGTGGCGCGAATTGCTGCTAATGGCTGACGTTGGCACTGTACGCGTCAGCTGCACCTCTAAAGTTTGAACAAGCACAAATTTCGCGCGAAGCGCGAGGTGCAATTATCGCGCAATTCTCGCGCCTGGCGACGAGACACGTCACTCATGTTGAGGGTGCGAATCGCCGCACTCCAGCCAACCCTGGGAGATTGCTGATAGGTCGATGAGGGCGCGTCCAGCGCGTTCGTTTAAAATTCACTTTATACGGTTCAATATGGTTTTCAGAGTTCCAACGTGGTGAAGCGCGAGAAGCACTCCTGATCGTGATATATCCTGCTGAAACGTGATCTGTGTACTGTAAACGTACGCGCTGGACACACCCTGGGTTTCTCACTGGCCCTGCTGTCCACCCTGCGTCAAAGTCGTCATTGCTCCCTGCTCTCGTCATCGGGCGTGCTTCTCTCCGCGGACCCAAATTCATCCTCTGTGGATGTGTCTCACATGTACGTCCTTAGCATTTTCCAGCGACAGTTTCCTAATTTAGTCAGCTCGACCCCCAGTCCAACTCTCCTTGTAGTGCCCGCACTTACTCCGAATTATTACCTGGCTTAGCCTCAGACCGTCATCAACGTTCGTGGCGATTTTTAAATGTAGGTTCGAAGGAGTGGATATGGTTTCCGTGGCTTTTTCTCACTAAATTCGCGTTGTACATGGGGGCTCACCTTCAGTCGTCTGGTGTTTCTGGTTAAGACGGCACAGGCGGTTCTGGCACGAACGGGCGTATGCAGTCTATAGTCTGTGTACTTAACGCCTAGGAGGATGCAGCACCTTTAGGCTTGATATTCGTGGTTATTATATCGTAGTACAGGGTTTCTTCGTTTCTGGCGGCCCGAATCCTGCTGCAGAGTATGTGCTGTTAAGCACAGCATACTTCTAAGGTTCAGAATACTTCCTTATATCTTTGTACTCTAATTATATAGTGGAGGACCGTTCCCAGGCAACACTTCAGCTGTTATCAGGATGGATGGAAGGAAGAGGCGGCGGATTGTGTGTAATGAACCAGGATGCCTTGCTTCTTTCAGGTCCCAAGATGAGCGCACCAATCATATAAGAAGCGAGCGCCACATTTATGGCCCAGCTCTGCAACCAGTCCAGTCCACAGCTCCTACACATCCTGCAAGCCCTTGCTCGGCATCTGCTCGTGAAGAATCTACTGCAGTGCCTCCTCGGGCTGCAGATGAGGCTACTCCGAGTTGGGATAACACGGGGTATGAGTTTTCCATGGCCCGGACCGAACCATTGATGCATATTGATGGCCAGTTCTGGATGCTCACCAAAACCGGGAATGGAGGGACTGGTTTGTCTCGTGAAACAGTGAAAGAGCTGCTGAGGTTGTTCAAGGAAGCGCAGACAACCCCACTCAGCTTCGAGACTCTGGCAGATGTGGACCGGTTTGAGGAGTCCTTGGAAAAAGAGGTTGGATTGCAACCCTTGGAGCCAGTTGACATCACAGACAAGGAGCAGGATGCGACGCCAGTGATCCTGTGGTGTCGGCAGACATGGGCATGCGTGGCTGACCTATACAGCAATCCTGCAAATGCAGAAGGTTTTGTAGCGGAACTTGAAGACAGCAGCGAGAGTGAAGAAGCACACAGATTCACAGAACCTTCGACAGGATCATTCTGGAGAGAGGCTGTGGCTGGACTACCAGATGGTGCATCTATTGCTGCTGTCATCTTATATTCAGATGCAACTGAACTAGCCAAGGATGGATCAGCAACTGGTCACCCTGTCTATGTTTCATTGGGTAACATCTCATCTGGAGAACGCTGGAAGCCTCATGGCAGACGATTAGCAGCCTTGCTTCCGGACTTCAGCAAGCACGTAGTCAAGCCTGGAGTGGATGTGGCACGTCGACGGCTTGAGATCTTCCACACCTGTCTGGAGAAGATTCTAGAGAAGCAGAAGGAGGTGGAGTCAACGGGAATGAGGATGAAGGATCCCCTAGGTGTTGTTCGGTATGTTCGCCCGTTGCTATACGCATATGTGGGCGATTATCCTGAGCAATGCAAGGTGGCGGGGACGAAAATGGGCAACCAGACGCGGTTTCCATGCCCGAAATGCCTCATATCGAATGAGAACTTGGCGAACGCTGATGCGCGGTGGGAGTACAGGACGGAGGAGGGCCAAAAGCTGACTCTGGCGCAACTGCAAGCTTTCCGTGGTCGCACAGCTCTAGCTCGAGCCGAAACTGTGGAGAGCACACATCGAGTCAAAGTACGTTTGGGATGGGGCTTGCAAGTGTCTAGTCCCCTCATGTTTGAACGTTTAGGGGAACGTCACAGATTGTATGAGTTTTTTTGAAGGCTTTGTGCATGGCGTGCAGCCACATCCCCCACCTATGTCTTCTCTATTTCCCCCCCTTCTTGCCATGCACACACTCTCTCTCCCCAAATCCAGCCACCACATCCCCCACCCCTCTCTTCCATTTCCCCCCCTCCTTGCCATGCACACACTCTCTCTCCCCAAATCCAGCCACCACATCCCCCACCTCTCTCCTCTATTACCCCCCCACATTTCCATTCACTCAATCACTCACTATCTCGTTAGGTACGACGTCTACCTATGCTGCTCTTTCTCCCGCCGACATGCAGGTTGGGATATGGGGATTCCCAAACGGCTCAACAACATGGGGGAATCCATATCGCTCGCTGATGTGTGATGTCATGCACATGTCCGCTCTAGGGGTGTACAAGCACATGGTCGACTGCATACGCGCGATGCTCCCAGATAAAATTGCTGCTATGGATATTGCTTTGCGAAACGTCACTGCTTTCAGCCGCCAATCCTTGTTCCGCCTGCCATCCGAAGGGAAGCACTATTTCGCAAACAGAGGGGTGTTCCAAGCATTTGAACATCAGTCGGTCATGCAGGTTCTACCCATCATTCTTGAGTTGGTAAATGCGCCTGCAGCTATTCGTGAGGTGGTGTCATTGTACGTTTATTGGCACACCGAGGTGTGGCTACGCCCGTATCACACGGAGGACAGCCTAGATGTCTTGGATCTACTCACTAAGAAGTAAGTGAAGCCTAGAGCCGCTAGCTTTGAAGCGTAGTACTCTTGCTTTTTATTCAACATGTGGTCAAAACTCTTATCTATGTCGATTTCCTATTCATATCCTTCGTACCACTAATACCCAAACTGCAGGCTGGTCGCTAAGCTGGTGGACGTGTTTGGTGAGCAGCAATCATCCGAGTTCAATCTTCCCAAGGTACATGCGATGCTTCACGTCGTAGATGACATTCGTCGTGGGGGAATTCCTGCTCACTATTGTACAGATATGTACGAGCATCTACACATAGCACTGATGAAGCGGCCATACCGCACAAGCAACAAAAAGAATGTTGAGTCGCAGATAGCACGAAAGGCGTTGGTGGCTGAGCTCGTGGATATACTCGCACGCCAAGAAGAAGGAGCAGAAGACTCAGCTGCAAGGAACGGGGCGCTGAGTCAAGTAAGTACATGTGTACGCGAAATCTGTTTTTGACCAGCTCCACGACCCATCATTGCCACTATTTTTGTTTTCTCACCATCCCTCCAACTACTCCCCTAACACTCATGTTTCCAGGCCTTGCAAACTGGGTGTCCAGCAGTAACTGGCAAGAATGGGCAACTGGCTCTCCTTGGCGATAGGTCTTCGCTGTGGCAAGCATATGCACACACTATTCCAGGCAACATGGAGCAATTGTTGCCTTCTATTATGTCCTTTTTAGGGCCCGATAGGACATGTGACGCACGCGTTAACCTTCATCGTGGAGTGGCCGTTCCGCCTGGTGAAAACTACGAGATATACAATCGGCATGCACAGTTCGCTCGAGCCACTCCTCTTTTCTACGGCAGGCCGTGGTTCTCCGACGTTGCTGTTACTGATCACTCCACTGACGACGCAGATGCACAAAGATTCTGCAAGTTACTCCTAATGTTCACGCTGACTAATGGCGAGGAGTGCCAGCAGGTCGCTTTCGTGCGGTTTTATAACGTGCTTGGTCCGGCTGAAGGATCGGTATTGGACCGCATGACATGGGCGAGTGGTGATGGGGCATACGGCATCGTACCTGTTGATGACATCCTGCGTGTGCTTCACGTCGCTCCACTCACAGATGATGTACGCAGCGACAGCGCAACATTTTTGTACAACCCATTTAGGAGATGACGCATGTTTATATGCATATAAATGTTGTATATATTACACAGCATATAATCTACCATTTAAACCTCCCTCCACCCTTACGATTTTCGGACCACGGTTTGAGACCCGCACCAATTGAAGTGTTGTAAACGACTGTACTGTAACGAGATTAGATTATACACAGTGCCTGCCTGCACTAGTTGTGCGCTGCGCAGTCGCATGCAAAAAGGAGGCATTGCACTGCACAGTGTGTTCATGCAGCCAATGTGAGAAATTATCGACCATTCGATAACACCTGTGGGTTCGTCGAAAAATTTCCGCTAACCAAACGACCATCAAATTTGGACCAATGGCACTGGTCCTTCCCTCCGCAGGCTGCACGGGCGCAACTTCGTAGAATTCACCAGGCGTCTGACGCACAAAGTTGCCCTATCCGCATTGGTCAGTGCAATGCTGCTGGCAGTTGGCATCCCACAACCTGCGAACAATATGTTCTACAAAAAAACCTAGCACCACATAACGGGTCTCCCGCGTCAGGCGATTCGCGGCAGAAAAAACTGATGCTGCCCAAAGAAACACTCGGGTTTTGCAACACGCAAAATACTGCCCCGCTGCGCTGCCACTCCAATGTCTTCGCGTGAGTTGTTTAGTGTAGCTTAAATGGACAAATCTTGTTGGCAGAACTCCACACGAAAACACCATCGGGATGGAAAGACAATCTGGTTGGTCAGACCGTCTCACTGGACAACGCTTCCTCGAACGGACTACGTGATTCGTCGGTTCAGGCAACGCGGAAGATAAGACAACTGGACTGCTGGACTGTCCTTTTTTTTTTTTTTTTTTTTTTTCTCACTCCCCCCCCCCCCCCCCCCCCCCCCCCCCCCCTTCCCCGGGCCATCCCGCGATTGTTATGGTGAAACGCGATGCTTATTTCATCTGTGCTAGATAATGGTTCTGTTCAGTAGAAACATGTACAGCGAGGATGTGAACTCCAAGCGTGAACTTCAAAAGTGCTTTCTAAAATTTCATCAGACCGCGCCACAGAACAGAAGGTTCCGAGCTCCTCATTGGCTGGAGACCAAGGTGAACACCAAGCACTCTCATCCGCCTCGCTCGCAGCTCCCTCAGCACGTACTCTCAACCAGATTTCTCCAAGCCTGCTCTGAGTTTGAATCTGCAATTCAAACTTCTAAGATATCGAACAAGCCTAACTTAGCTTTGGTAGTCTACAAACCTCCCTCAGAGGCGTGGTCCCTAAACACGGGGCTAGACTTTCAACCTCCCTCGCTTTTGTCACTCCGAACGCGGTTTGTCGTGCCTGGTGTTGATCCTCGTTCACAGGTAAGCACCTCACTTATAAAACTGTAGCTCCATGTCTTCGCAATCAACTGCCACTTCTTTTCAATACTCTTTGCTCGAGCTCTACCATACATATCTAGCTGAGGCATGCGGAATAACTACAACTCTGTTCCTGCTTATGCTATGATGGCTGCTCGCCAGACTCTTGGCCGCTCAAGCAAGGACAAGCATCAAATCTTAGGGAAGCACTACGGAGGCATCTCAGGTATGGGTTGTGTTTCCTTCTTGGCTTTTTATACTCCCTGTTTTGCTTCTTAAACACTCAAGTGTGTTCATCTTGCAGGTACTTCTGGAGCACCACAAGAGATCAACAACAACGTCGGCCACACAACCGATGCTTCACCAAATTCTACCCCTATCAACGCCCCTGGATTGCAGCAACCTAAGGCAACAAAGAAGAGGTCTCTTGACTCTTTTGGAGAGCCTGTGACCGCCTCCCTACCTGGTATGTTATCTCTGCTCAGCATGTAGCTGTAGCTTACATCCAAGTTCTAATATGGTGACGTTTTCTACAATGCAGTGAGTGAGCCTAGCAACACCAATCCGACCACAGGCACAACAACAGCTCAGCCTAGTACAGCAGACCCCCCTGCTACAATTGCTCCTCTGCAAGGTTCAGGCCTTAACAGCTCACCTTCACCAGCAGGTATGGTACTCTCGTAATGTGCATGTTCCTTCTCTCGTAACCGTTTAGTATGGTCTCTTATCTACTATCCACTCTAATCATTAAGTTCTTGTTCTCCAGGTTATGGTGTTACAGGTGCTCGTCTGCTGAGTCTTGTTGCTGGCACTAATGCTCCCAAAGTTCCCCGTTTCCAAGAGGCTCCTCTCCGCTCGTCCCAGGTGCCAGACAATTGGCGGCTGTCCATCATGCAGTCTGAAGAGGCGGCTAATGAGGCTCGGGAGGCTGTGCAGCGTAACTCCCAAGTTGCTGCACAGGCCCTGGTTGCAGTTAACACGCTTGCAGGGCAACTTGCTCGATCCACCACGTCCAGCAGCACGTGGGTTGTAAGTGTTTTCACTCTTGTTCTACCTTTCATTGTTGAGGCCGTTGCTAATGCACATGGTTTCCATATACAGTTGTACAAAAAAAAGGCGATATACCAGTCCCTCAACCGTCCAGGGCACATCAACTTCGCTCCAGATGATGAGTACTGGATAAACGCGCTCTGTTGTGAGTACTCAGATACTAGGGTTCATATTGCTTCCTCTTTTTTGTTCTTGTCATTATAACTAGTCTCTTACCATGTGCAGCTGTGGCTCATATTGACCCTAACCTGCCGGACGCGAATGAGTTCAAGCGAGAAGCTGTCGTAGGAGGGCATGTGAAAGCCCTTGCTGCCACCTTCAACAACAGGTTGGGCAAGAAACTGTCTGACATTCGCAAGGCTGCATTTGCTAATGACCCTATTCCGTTCATCCCTTCTGGCTCAAGTTCCAGAAATGTATCTCTGGATTTTGCCACGCAGTGCCTTGATTATGTGGCCTCCCATGCAACACGTAAGTATTTTTCCTTGAGTTCTTTTTCTTCGTGTATTGTATTTGTTCATTTAAGTCTGATTACTTGATCAAATGCAGGTGGGGAGGGTACGGAATGGCATGTTGGAGCCAATGGAGTGCCATTCAGCAGCCCTGCATTTGTGGCTGTTGCGCGGGTGTGGAATGGTGGGTACGCTCCCATTCTTGGGCTTCAGGCCGAACAGCTAGTCCTCTCGATGGCTGTTGTAAGTGTTTTCTAGCATTTTTTTATGCTTTGATTCTACTCACAATCTCACTTTAACATTCCATCAACTTGAACCCTTGGCAGGTCCGATACAAGCTGAGGAACCCAACGAGCACCAAGCTTCAGCTAGAGCGGTCAGGAGACTGTGATGCACTTGCAAGGCAGGCAAGGATTGTTCAGAGGATCATCAACAGGGTGAGAGCCGTTCCAAATGCGACTGGGGCTATTCACATCGGCCGGCTCTATCTGTACAACTGGACTCCAGTCGAAGCGGCTGTCCTTGAGCAGGATATGTTTGGTGATGAGCTGGATGAGGAGACTTATGTCGAGGGAGTAGATGAAGAGGAGCAGTGAAAGGAAAAAGGGAAGGAGAGGGGAAGAGGAGGTAGGGGAAGAGGTGGTAGGGGTAGAGTAGGAAGTATTTCTAACAGTTCTGATTCTAATTTGACTGCATGACCTATGAATTGTAGAAGTATGTATGTAGAAGCTTTCAATAGATAGTTAAATTGAATATTATAGCGGAAATGAATACTTTAGGTAAAAGACAATACCATGCATATACTGAATCACAATTTAATTGCAAGGTGACTACCGCTACTATAATTTATAGTCACATCTGACTATGTCGAGGTTGCTATAAAATATTTTGAAACGTCCTATTACATTCTACCCTAACAGAATTACGGGTTTCCATGCCCCTCATTGTAACCTTCATGGCCGTTACGACTGGCCGACTAAAATCGTGGAGTTCGCTGGCCACTTCAGAATCATGCGGTGATGGTAATCCCGATGCGAGGGCGTGTTGTTTTCGTGCTGCCAATCAAGCGCGAAATTGCCGAACGCGCCTCGGTTCAGTTCGCCTTCTTGAATTCAACTCACCTGCGCTATTGCCCGCGTGTTGAAAATCTCCCGAACCCCACCATCTCCAACCCGACTTGTTCACGAGTTGTGTACAAGGCGCCAACCCAACCCCCACAATCTCCGATGTACTGCCAGTGTAATGAATCAGGAGCAAAATTCTGCTGAGTGGCTGTTAGGAGAGCGTGTTTAGAAAGGGAATTTGGCGCTCGATTCTTGCTCGTGTCGTAAGATATACAATTCGTTGCCGAAGACTTCTGTGTTCGCTACAGCGCGTTACTGGTATTTCGTGAAGTATGGACGAGGGTGGGGCCAGAGCTGCAATATTTTGTAGGTGACGAGGAGGTTACCGACTATCGCGAAAAACGGAGGGACGACTTTTGAGTCGACTCAAAAATCACTCACGGACGACGAACATTTAAATGGTTACTACGCCAGCTGGGCGAAAAAGGCCATTTTGTACTGCAGCAATATAATCAGGTTTCTAACCAGCGCAACCCGCCCTAGTCTGGTTCTGAGGTTTGTTCACACCAAACCTAGGTCACTCATCGCTTGTTTATGCGAGGACCGGTATCCTGACATCAACTGCGTCGGGGCAATACCGCGTTAGTGGCATACCGCGTTTGCTTTTATCGAGGAATAGGTACTCCTGACGAAGGCCACAACGTAGGAGTCTTCAGTGATTCCGGAATCTCCGGAGCCTAAAAATGGTTGCTTTCTGCGCGCGCAAGGCTGGGCAACTAGGTCTAAACGAAACTGAGCGAGCCTCAAAGGTTGGATTATTGTGCGAGGGGGGGAGAGAGCGACGGTAATGCCACATTATGCTGAGTCAGCGGAAGAGTCTAGACTGCGGTAAGAGGAGAGCGGTGTAGCCGCCTAAATTAGTTCAGGAAGCTAAGCGGGTGCTGTGCAAGAGGGGAGTGAGAGTGGGGAGAGAAGAGAGGACTTCAAGCCGCCTAGGAAACTTAGCATGATCGCGTTACCAGAATCGCCCTGTAAATAGTGACTGTTGGCGGTTTTAGGTCACGGCTCGAGGTCTCTCACGACAAGCACCTACACTTTGGGTCGTACACTTCGGTTTTTTAGGAGTACTGGGTCCACCAAGCCACACACACGTACCCTCGCTATCGCAATGTTCCCACTTCGCGATCTCCAGTACCTCCTAGAACCGTCGTCCCTCGCGCTCGTGGCGACCGCCCTCTCCGTCGTCCTCCTCTCCGCCTTCCGCGCTCTCATTCACGACCGCGAGTCGGAGCGCCATCGCGACATGTCCGCGTCGGCCATAACCCTAGACACCAACCGCGCGCTGCTGCTGCCATTGGCCAGTTCCGTGTCTCTCCTGCTCATGTTTTACCTGTTCGCGACGGTTTCGCAGCTGGTTACCGCGTTCGCCGCTGTCGCGTCGGCGTCTGCGACCTGCTTCGCGCTGTCCCCGTTAGTGGCGTGGCTGAATACCTCCCTGGGGCTGCAGGATCCGCTGATTACTGTATATTTCCCGTCGTTCTCGTTATGGAGTGGCCAACACGGCAACAGCAACAACAGTAACAGCAGCAGCAGTAACAGCAGCAGCAGCAACACCAGCAGCAACAGCAACAGCAGCAGCAGTGGCAGCAGAAGGGGTGAGGGTGGGGGTAGCAGTGGCGGCACATTGCTAGGTGAAGGAATGAGAGGGAGAGAAAGCAGAAGCAGTACCAACATCAACAGCAGCAGCAACAGCAGCGATGGACACAACAGGAGTGTGAGCCGAAACAACTCTGCTAGTGGCAAAACTAACACCAGCACCACCACCAGCACCACCACCACCAGCACCAGCACCAGCACCAGCACCAGCAGCAGCAGCGCTTATATTACCGCAGGGGAGGGGGGCAGTACGGTATTGGGAGCGGTGACTCGAATGCAGCTGGTACTGGGGGTGCTGAGTGGAGCGCTGGTGCTGTGCTGGCTGGTGTCGGGCCACTGGCTGCTGAACAACGCTCTTGGCACGGCCATATGCGTTGCGTTTGTCAGTCACGTGCGATTACCCAATGTCAAGGTAAGGTGGTAACCTGGTAACACCAGGAAACCATGGTAACGGGAGTTGGTGCTGGGGTGCTGTGCTGGCTGGCGTCGAGCCATTGGCTGCTTTCCCTTGGTCCGACCACGTGCAGCTTCCCAACGTCAAGTCAAGGTAAGGTGGTAACTTTGTAAGGTGGTAACTTTGTAAGGTGCACAGCCCCGCTCTTTGCTGCACCCTGCCTTCCCGCCTACTCCCCAACTCCTGCCCCCCTCCTGCCCCTCCTGCCCTTCCCCCTCTCTCATTCCAGGTCTGCGCGCTACTCCTGGCGTGCCTCTTCGCCGACGGCATCTTCTGGGTCTTCTTCACCCTCTCTCCCTTGCATCCCCCCCCCCTCCCCCCCTTCTCCCTTCCCCCTCTCTCATTCCAGGTCTCTGCACTTCTCCTGGCGTGCCTCTTCGCCTACGACATCTTCTGGGTCTTCTTCTCTCACGCTTCTTCGGCGCCAATGTGATGGTGTCAGTGGCAACGCAGCAAGCCCACAACCCCGCGCACACCGTCGCCCAGTCGCTGCGCCTGCCCACTGCAGTATCGGGGTCGATAGTGAGGGAGATCGAGCTGCCCGTCAAGCTGCTCTTCCCTCGGGATTTGTTCGGAGAGCTGAAGTTTTGGGGGGGACGGAGTGGAGGGAGAGCACGAGACTTCATGGTGCTCGGCCTTGGCGACATGGTGAGTTTTGGTGCGTTCGGAATGCCCCATCCCACACTGGTGCGTTCGGAATGCCCCATCCCACACCGCCGCCCAGTCGCTGCGCCTGCCCACTGCAGTGTCGGGGTCGATAGTGAGGGAGATCGAGCTGCCCGTCAAGCTGCTCTTCCCTCGAGACCTGTTTGAGGAGATTTACAGTGTGGTGCATCTTAAATTATGGTTAAGTTGGCCCTCATTCGTGAGAGGTGAGGTGATGGTGTATGTGGTCACGCAGCAGACACACAACCCCGCCCGCACCGTCGCCCAGTCCCCTTTGAGTCAACTCAAGAGCCGCCCACTTTCTTTGAAAACGTCCATTCCTCTTTCCTTTCTTCCCATTCGTGAGGAGTCTATTTTTGTCCGGAGATCTTCCCATTCCTATTTTTGTCCGGAGATCTTCCTCTTTCCTTTCTTCCCATTACGTGCATTCTATCTCAAGCATGCTCCTGGCCCTGCTCACAAGAGGCGGCAGCAGGCGTCAGCAGCAGCGGAGCCAGAACGCCAAATAACAACCCCTTTCTTCCTGCCTTTGAGTCGACTCAAAAGTGGAGTCAGAGCACCAAAAAGGCCACTTTTCTTCCTTCCCCTCGAATTGCAGGCTATACCAGGCATGCTGCTAGCCCTTGTTCTGTGCGTCGACCAGCACAAGAGGCGGCAGCAGCAGGAGGAAGAGCAGGAGAGGGAGATGGAAGCACTAGAGGCAGCCACGGGAGGGGAGGAGCAGCACCAGGAGTTGCAGGAGAGTTCTCAGAAGCACTTTCAAAAGCATACTCAGCAGCACTTGGATCGGCCACTCCTGGAGTCTTCTACCTCAGGCCCCCCAGTATCAGCCTCTCGGCACAAGTCAGCTCAAGACAACGTGTGTGTTGAAAGGGGTATGGCCCGTGGGAGAGGCCAGCTGAGCTACGTGTGGGTGGCAGCAGCGGGGTATACAGTGGGGCTTGTGGCTGCTCTGGCTGCTGGCGTGCTCACAAGGTCGCCACAGCCTGCTCTGCTATACCTGGTAGGTTAATTGGTGTGCCTGGGGCAATGCGAATAGGTCCTGCATGGAGAGTGCAGCTGAGCTATGTGTGGGTGGCGGCAGTGGGGTATGCTGTGAGGCTGGTGGCTGCTCTAGCTGCTGGCATCTTGACGAGGTCGCCGCAACCTGCCCTGCTGTACCTGGTAGGTTGAGTTGCTGCGTGTGGCATGTCTGCTGGGGTTGGTGTGGCACCTGCTGTAAGCACAAGTCGGCCGGGGCCGGTGTGTCTGGGAGAAGGCTGATGGGGGAAGCGTGAGAAAGGCCAGCTGAGCTTTGTGTGGGTGGCAGCAGTGGGGTATACTGTGGGGTTTGTGGCTGCCCTGGCTGCTGGCGTGCTCACCAGATCACCGCAACCCGCTCTGCTGTACCTGGTAGGTTAATTTGTTGTGGTAATTTCGCTTTGAGACGTCTCAACACGAAATTACCAACACAAGGTCGCCACAACCTGCCGTGCCGTACCTCGTATGCTGCTTCGCTGTGGTGGGTATGCATGCTGGCCATTTGGTTTTATGCCTCAATTGTAAACGCAGTTCCATTCCCAAGTAGGGTGTACTGTGAGGCTTGTGCTTGACCTGGCGCTGCCTGCTGTTGTGCGGCTTACCACAAGGTCGCCACACCCGTCCTGCGCTACCTGACCTGTTGTGCTGATGTGTTGCCTATGGTTTATGTGCCACAAGGTCGACTCAAAAGTCAGCTTGAGTCGACTCAAAAGTCACCTTGAGTCGACTCAAAAGTCACCTGTGTCGCTGGTGGCATGAAGATTTTTGAGTCGACTCAGAAGTCACCTTGAGTTGACTCAAAAGTCACCTCGAGTCCACTCAAAAGTCACCTCGAGTCGACTCAAAAGTCACCTTGAGTCAACTCAAAAGTCACCTCGAGTCGACTCAAAAGTAACCTTGAGTCGACTCAAAAGTCACCTTGAGTCGACTCAAAAGTCACCTTGAGTCGACTCATAAGTCACCTGTGTCGCTGATGGCGTGGAGAAGAGGCGAGCCGGGAGGTTGGACTCCTTGTAAAGCAATCTTATTGCCCCAATGCCCCCCTGCCCCTCCATTTTCCTCCATA